TGTGTAACAGTGAAAAATAAAGCCAAGGCAGTGCACGATTATCAAATGCCACTCCAGTGCTGCACTGTCAGCAGTGAAGTGACACTCATCTTACACTGTGCTTCAAGGAGTTTCATATATACTCCAGAATTTCTAAAACATTGCTGGGACCTGGCAAAAACAGCAAAAATCATTTCTTAATTATAAATACATTTTTCTTATTTAAAAACCCATATTTTTTTTTTGGGGGGGGGGGGGGTCTGGAATAGATTAATGGCATTTCAGTTAATTTCAGTGAGGAAAATTGATTTGCTACATGAGGAAATTGAGTTACGAGCTGGGTCACGGAACGAATTAAACTCGTAAGTCAAGGTACCACTGTATTAGATAAGTTTGAGAGTGCTCATGTGGTGGATCATGAAGCATCAGTTCGTACAATTAAAAAGAATGAGGTAAATATACGAGTATGTGTAATGAATAACTCAGGATATTGTCTCACTGACTGACTTACTGACAGACTTGACTTCCATGTCTGTCTTCCATGTCTGACTTCCATGATTGACTTCCATGATTGACTTCCATGTCTGACTTCCATGATTGACTTCCATGATTGACTTCCATGATTGACTTCCATGACTGACTTCCATGACCGACTTCCATGACTGACTTCCATGACCGACTTCCATGACCGACTTCCATGACCGACTTCCATGACCGACTTCCATGACCGACTTCCATGACCGACTTCCATGACCGACTTCCATGACTGACTACTGACTGATTTGCTTGACTTATTGACTTGAGTGACTTATTGAATTGATTGACTTACTGACTTATTTGACTGACTGACTGTCTTGACTTCTTATTAGATTTGCCAGTACTGTCCCGGCCTGAGTCTTTTCCAGGTGGTGACCCGGCCTTGGCTCCCTGTCTGACTCGAAAGGCATGTCAGCTGCGTAGCAGCAGGTGATATCAGGAAGGGCAAAGGAAGCAATCATTACAGGATCCCTCTAGAGCCACAATTTATAGGTTATTGGGAATACCGTCCATGTTTTCCCCAGATTCCTGCTAGTATGTCCAGGAGTAGCAGGCTGGTTGGTAGAGATTTGTCAGGGGTCTTAACCCTTTGACTGTTTCGGCCGTATATATACGTCTTACGAGTAACCATGTTTGACGTATATACAGTGGACCCCCGGTTCGCGAAGTCATTGGTATCCGATAAATCCGGTATCCGAAGCATTATATCGCAAAAAATTTGCCTCGTTTCCCATTACAAAACCCGGTATGCGATACGATTCGTACGAGACGTGTCCACATGTGGCCTGAACTTTCCCGTGTGTGCCAGTGTTTACAAGCCAGCCAGTGTTCGCGCATCTAAGGATACATTCAGTACATTCCATATTATCACTGTTTTTGGTGCTTGTTTCTGCAAAATAAGTCACCATGGGCCCCAAGAAAGCTTCTAGTGCCAACCCATCGAGACCAAGGGTGCTAATGACTATTGAAATGAAGAAAGAGATAATTGCAAAGTATGAAAGTGGAGTGCGTGTGTCGGACCTGGCCAAGTTGTATAGTAAATCCCACTCAACCATCTCTACTATAGTGAGCAGGAAAACGGCAATCAAGGAAGCTGTTCTTGCAAAAGGTGCAACTGTGATTACAAAACAGCGATTCCCCTTCTAAACATTAAAAACTTCGACACTCTCCCCTCCTCCCATCCCATCAATCATCACCAGATCTTCATTAAAGGTATGTGTCAATTATTCTATTGTGATTATTTTATTGTTATTATTGTTATTGTAATTATTCTATTGCATTAAACTTAATATTTCATGTGGTAAAAGTTTTTTTTTTTCATACTTTTGGGTGTCTTGCACGGATTAATTTGATTTCCATTATTTCTTATGGGGAAAATTGATTCGCTTTCCGATAATTTTGCTTTACGATGAGCTCTCAGGAACAGATTAATAACATGAACCAGGGGTCCACTATATACTGATAAATTCTAGCGGCTTCAAATCAAGCAGGATAAAGCTGGTAGGCCCATATGTGAGAGAATGGGTCTGTGTGGTCAGTGTGCACCATATAAAAAAAATCCTGGAACACGCAGTGCATAATGAGAAAAAAAAACTCTGACCATTTTTTTAATTAAAATGCCGACTTTGTGGACTATTTTCGCATAGTATTTATGGCTGTATTCTCGTTTTCTTGGTCTCATTTGATAGAATGGAGAACATATTATAGAAATAGAGGTGATTTTTGATTGGTTTTACTATAAAAATAACGTTGAAATGGAGCTCGAAGTAGGGGAAATGTTTGATTTTTGCCGATGTTCAAAAGTAAACAAATGATGTCATTGTCCAATAAATGTCCAACTAGCCATTCTAATATGCAGTCATGAATGGGTTGACATTATTTGTACAATTATTACAATATTGCAGTAGTCTGCATAACAGTAAATCTTCTATTTTTTGTTTGAAAAAAAATTCAAAATAGAAAGCAAGAGTAATATCAGAGGGGCCTGGAGACATGACCGATGAACAAAGAAAATGTTATTTTAGAGCCAGGAATGTCTGCATTGTTCATTCTGGACCTTATTTTGAAATTGTCATATTTTTTAATTTTCGTGAAATTGGCCAATTGCAAATTTCTGACCACGTTATTGGGTAGTTGAAATCGGTAAATGGGCAGTTTCTTGTACTCAATCGATAGAAAAAATGGAGTTCTAAAGAAATAGCTATGAGTTTGTTCGACTGCAACAATGGAATTAGCCGAAAATAGGGCTCAAAGTGGGCGAAATCGCCGATTTGTAAATATCGCCGAGGTCGCTAACTTTGCGAGAGCGTATTTCCGTCAGTTTTCCATCAAATTTCGTTGTTTTGGTGTCATTACAATAGGGAAAAGATTCTCTATCATTTCCTAAGATTTTTTTTTTTTTTTTTTGCAACACCAGGAGACACCTCAGGATTGGGGGGTTGCGACAGTCAAAGGGTTAAGCTTGTGACAACCCAGCAATATTGTTAGGTGAAGGTATACACTCCAGAAGCAGCAGCAGCAGCATTCAATTGGGGTGTCTTCAAACAGCGGTACCCCGAGTTTCGAATGCATCGACTATGTAACGCTTTGAGTTTCGACCGCTTTTTTTGAACCAATTTTGTCCCGAGTGTTGAACTTGCCCCATGTTTCGAACCACATACCAGACCTGTCTGCCTGCCCGCATCCCCACGCAGGCGTTGTGAGCCAGTCTGGCTTTGTTTATGCTTGAGTGAACACTAACCTGTGCACTCAAATGTTTCACTATCAATTCATTGTGTTTGGTGCTTGTTTATTAAGTGCGACTGTGAAATAAGCTACCATGGTGGTGGTGGTGGATGGTATTGGTGGATGGTGGTGGTGGATGGTATTGGTGGATGGTATTGGTGGATGGTGGTGGTGGTGGTAGTGATGGATGGTATCGGTGGATGGTGGTGGTGGTGGATGGTGGTGGATGATGGTATTGGTGGTTGATGGTATTGGTGGTGGTGGTGGATGGTATTGGTGGATGGTGGTTGATGGTTGGTGGTGGATGTGGTGGTGGATGATGGTATTGGTGGATGGTGGTGGTGGTAGATGGTATTGGTGGTGATGGTGGATGGTATTGGTGGATGGTATTGGTGGTGATGGTGGATGGTATTGGTGGATGGTGGTGGTGGTAGTGGATGGTATTGGTGGATGGTGGTGGATGATGGTATTGGTGGTGGTGGTGGTGGTGGTGGATGGTATTGGTGGATGGTGGTTGATGGTATTGGTGGTTGATGGTGTTGGTGGTGGTGGATGGTGGTGGATGGTATTGGTGGTGGATGGTATTGGTGGATGGTGATGGTGGTGGATGATGGTATTGGTGGATGGTGGTGGTGGATGATGGTATTGGTGGATGGTGGTGGTGGTGGTGGTTGATGGTATTGGTGGCTGGTGGTGGTTGATGGTATTGGTGGATGGTATTGGTGGATGGTGGTGGTGGTGGTTGATGGTATTGGTGGATGGTGGTGGTGGTGGTTGATGGTATTGGTGGATGGTGGTGGTGGATGGTGGTAGTGGTGGATGGTAATGGTGGATAGTGGTGGTGGTGGATGGTGGTAGTGCTGGATGGTATTGGTGGATAGTGGTGGTGGTGGATGGTGGTAGTGCTGGATGGTATTGGTGGTGGATGGTGGTAGTGGTGGATGGTAATGGTGGATAGTGGTGGTGGTGGATGGTGGTAGTGGATGGCACTTTCTTCAGCGATTAAGGAGAGTTGTGCAGTGTGGAATAGGGTGCAGGCATTTGCTGAAAAATATCACCCTGCAACAAGTTCAGTGACAGAACCATGTCCCATTTTAGGGAAATCTTAAAGCAGGGAAGTTACCCCAGAGAGGGACTTGTTACCCAAAGTCTTTATGGAAGGGGATTCCCCTTCCAAACAATAAGTGCTCCCTCACTCCTCACTGTCTTCCAGATGCCATCAACAATCTACAATAAAGGTAAGTAAAAATGTTATTTTATATGTTTATTTAAATGTTTATTTATACTTTACTAATTGTACTATGTATGTTTGTTGTAGTATGTATGTAAAACTATAATTTCCAAAAAATTGATTTTTTTTTTTTTTAATATTTTTGGGTTTCTGGAACAGATTAATTGTATTTACATTATTTCTTCTGAGAAATATTGCTTCGAGTTTCAAATGTTTCGACTTTAGAAGTAGCTCCTGGAACGGATTAAGTTCAAAACTCGGGGCTCCACTGTATAATACCTTTACTAATTTTGTCATCTTAGGTGGAGACTTTATGCCTAACTTGGTTTACGTTTATAGTAGTTTTAAAAGAAGTTGCAAATAGTGCCCCTGTTCATTTCCCCGAGAATAAAAAAAACTGGATTAACGTTTCATCCTGCTTGGACAATAATATTAACTAATAATCATGATTTATTTTTTTTCAGTACAGTATTAGTATTGTTGGTTCATTTTTAAGACTGAAATTAATACTATTGTTTAATGTTTTCAGGGAAGTGTGGCAGTAGCACTTCTCACCTGTTAAGTGCCTGGTGAGGAAAAACCATCACAGGAAGTTACTACTGCATCTGGAAGTGCATCAGCAAGTGTGGCAGCAGCACTTCTCACCTGTTAAGTACCATCATAGGAAGTTATTACTGCATCTGGAAGTGCATCAGCAAGTGTGGCAGTAGCACTTCTCACCTGTTAAGTGCCTAGTGAGGAAAAACCATCACAGGAAGTTACTACTGCATCTGGAAGTGCATCAGCAAGTGTGGCAGCAGCGCTTCTCACCTGTTAAGTACCATCACAGGAAGTTATTACTGCATCTGGAAGTGCATCAGCAAGTGTGGCAGCAGCACTTCTCACCTGTTTAAGCATCTAGTGAGAAACAAACATCACAAGAAGTGAGCAGTATAGTGTATCTGGCATAATAATAATACAGGCATCAAGGATCTATAGGGGCACTGCTCTTTTTGTGATTGCTTATTTTTTATTACAGTACTTGTTTGTAGTCTCAGTTGCAAAGTTCTGCTCATGGTGTCCCATCATTAATATTTAGTTGGTCATATAATTTTTTAAATTGTTGAATGATTGTAACATTCACTATCACATCAATCTCTTGCGCTGTTTACTTGCAGTTTATCAGTGCACCAAAAGAATCAGGCCTACACTGATACCAAATGGTGCTTTAAAGCTCTGGTGTCAGAAACACTTCATTTATATTGTAAACACATGGTCACCTTGTATTCTGATTACTTAAACTCATCTAACAGTGTCCTGAAGCTCTGGTGTCACACTTCATATACAGTATAACTGTATATAGCTCACCTCAGTATCATGACTACTAAAACTCGTCTAACAGTGGCACCAGAGAGTGTCATGAAGCCCTGGTGTTAGAAGATTAGGTTAGGTAAGATTCAGCAGGAAACAGGACAAGTGTTTCCTGACCCGGGTCGTATGTGATCTTTTGGTCATCTTACCGAGGCCTTCCACTGGCTCACCCATCCACCACTTGAAAATTAATTTGATGAGCTTTTTTCTTTTTACTGGTGTTAGAAATACTTGACATATATAGTGCCAATATGTGAACCTCGCCTCAACATCATCCTGATTACAAAGGTTCGTCTAACACAATATAGGAAGACTACAGTAGAGAGAAGTAATTTATGTGTTTGTGTTTTGAGTAAACCTTAGATATAATAGACCTCAAAATAAACAGACTTTGGAAATACGGGACAAAATTTGCAGCCGTCTGATTTGGAAACAGTGGACAAAATACTCTGGTCACAAAATTGTTCATTATTGTTATGATGGTAACAACACAGTCTACACATCCACTCTATATTAAGTGGCTTAATATAGAGCTTAGTCTATATTTATCTTAGCAACAGTATGCACATCAGGACAAATTCACTGGTATGGATTTTATTTAAAGACCTTTAAAACAAACTCTTTTATACAGTACATAGCAATGAGATTTCAACCAAAATTCTGTAAGGATATAATATTTTTTTAGTATTTTAGGAAACTTTAAAATACCTAAAAGTACTTTTCTCGCAAAAGAGGAAAGCATTAGTATAAGAAGATTCGTGCATTAAAATTTTATTTCCGAATTGACATGAAAAACTGATTCAGTTCTCATAGTTCAGATATAAAAGTCGCCTCTGTCATCCTAGTGATGACTCGAGGGACCACTGCCTCAATGGCCAAGTCTCGAGGAACCAGGAAGAGCACCAATGTTAGTGACAAAATAACTGCTAGTGTAACGCCTCAGAGGGATGACAAAAATGAGAAATTGTATCATTGTTCAGAGTGTTCAAAAAGCTTTAAAAGTAAATGTTATGTAGACAAACACATGAGAGCTCATACAGGGGAGAAACCTTATCATTGTGAAATATGCCTAAAAAGTTTTTCATTTCACTCTAATCTGTATATGCATATGAGAATTCACACAGGGGACAAACCATATCAGTGCTCAGAGTGTCTGAAAGAATTTTCATACAAAAGTGTTTTAATGAAGCATATGAACACTCACGCAGAAGGTAAACAATATCAGTGCTCGAAGTGTCAGAGAGAGTTTTCTCACAAAGGTGCTTTATTAAACCACATGAGAAGTCACTCAAAAAATAAAATACACAAGTGTTTAGTGTGTGAAAAAGTTTTTGCTGCAAAGAATTGTGTGGTGACACACATGAAAACACACACAGGGGAGAAACCATACCAGTGTTCAATGTGTTCGAAAGACTTTGTGCAGAAATGTGTGCTTTTAAAGCACATGAGAATTCATGAAGGGGAACAACCATTTCCTTGTCCAGAATGTCTAAAACGCTTTTCAGACAAATGGCACTTAGAGTCTCACATGAGAACTCATACAGGAGAGAAACCATATCAGTGTTCAATATGTGGAAAAGCTTTTCCTCTCAAAAGTAGTTTACAGTATCACGTAAGAACTCACACAGGTGAGAATACGTATCAGTGTTCAGTGTGTCAAAAAGTGTTTTATAAGAAAAACTATCTTATGATGCACATGAGAACTCACACTGGTGATAAACCATATCAGTGTACAGAGTGTCAAAAAGACTTTACTTACAGAAGTTCTTTGGCGAGGCATATGAGAATTCATGCAGGTGAAACACCATATCAGTGTTCAATGTGTGAAAGAGGCTTTTTATACAAAAGTACCTTATTGTGTCACATAAAACGTCACATGGAGAAGAAAGGGCACAAGTGTTCATTGTGTAAAAAAGTTTTCCCAAGGAAACTTCTTCTGACAAAACACTTGAAAACTCACAAAATCAAGAAACCATATTGTTCAGTCTGTCTAGATTTTTCAGCAAAATCTGTGCTTGTGATACAGATGGGAACTAAAGGAGGAAAGAAACCGCAGCCTATTTCAGAATGTCTTAAATGTTTTAAAAAGAAAATTGGAAATTTTGAGTAATGTTAAAAGTCTACACCCCTTTTGTAGACATTTAACACTTGTTACCTTTGACCTGGCAGTTTGTTAAAGCTGGAGAAAGCATTTTTGCTTTTATAGCTGAGATGTCATGCTGTGTGCCTGCATCATTGGCTACTTGGTAGTCACTGACATTTGGGTCCTAGATATTTTATGTGTGAATCCTAGAGTCCTAGAAGTAGGATGGGTGTGGTTGCAGTTCCCTGTGCACACATTACTGTACAGTAAACAACAGAACTGAGGATGTCTTACTCAATCTGTCTGATGTAACCCATGATATGCCCAGATGAGGGCATAACAAACTGTGACAGGCTTTGACCCAGTAACAGAGTTTGTGGAAATTAGTGTGGAATACAGCTGGTGCTGCTTTTCAGTTGCTACGATCTGGTTGCGTTTATCTGTTTCGATCAGTTGTCATCAGCTACCCACCATCTTTCTCGTTGCAGTACTGCCTTTCTCATCCTTCTGGTAATGCATTCTGTCATGATAGCAGTACTGATCCTGCATGTTGGGTATGTGGACTTTATCACTGAAATGTTTGACACCAAGTTTGCTTACTGCCATTAACCCCACCATTTCCATTCAAGCTGCTGCTCCTGCTCTCCAGCCCTTTTTCTGATCTGATTAAGCAGATCAGAAAAAGGGTGATCAGGAGCAAGACTGTGCCACTGTTAAACCAGTCCAGCTGCCACTAAGCCAGCATAGATGTCATAACTCAAAACCAGTGCAGCACCTATCTGTGTTGTCATGCCTAAATGGCAGCTGTGTACATCCCTGCCTTAGCTTCAGTTTCTAGTCAGGCAAGTCATTTTCATTCCAGTTCTAAACTACTGATTTCTCCAGTCAGTGCTGTTGCCTATACTATGGTGTAAACCAGTCTCCCAGTTTTATGTTCCTGGCAGAAGCCCTGTGGCTTTGCAGACCAAGCCCCAGGAGTACTGCTTGCTTCACTAAGCCATCGAGTCTTTAGTGCCACTGTGTTGTCATGACATCCACTGTTTGCTTCACCACACCCTTGTCTACCAACAGTTGCTATCTCCACCTGTTTTTAGTACATTTGTGTGAACTTCTGGTGTGAATATATTATATTCCACTGAGAACTCAGCTTGACAAGGTATATTGTCAAGCTGAGTTCCATGCCTGGTGACATCATAGGTGGTCAGTTAAAAGACCCCTGCTTTCTAGTGATGTCATAGAGTGGTCTGATGCTCCACAAGATGGCTACCAAAACAGCTGATTCCTGCTACCAGGATGCTGGTCACCACCTGGCCTCTCACCTAAAGTTTCTTGCATTTTAATTTTAGCCTAAGTAATATTGCTACTGTTTGTTGCATTATTGTTTCATTCCTTTCATTTTGTGACTATTTCAACTGTGTCTTACTTTTCTCACCATTCTGTTATTGATGTTACTGTGCTTTGTTTTCTGGTGTCCTGGGGCACTGTTGTGTGTACTTAGGAAAGTGTTCCTTGTCTTTATCTCTTGGTGCTGTTCTGGGTTTCTTCAGAGACTTCAGTGCTCGTGTGTACATTATTGTTGCAGTTAGTGTTCTTGTCTTCATCTATGACTGTATAATAACTCATTTTGATAGTATTGCTTGACAGCACCACTCTACATTTTTCTATTACAGGTACTCGTTAGTGACGATGTTGCTTTTGTGTACCTTGTGATCCTAAAGTTTAATATTATTTGTTTGCATATGCTAATTTGCTACTGTTTTCCAGAGTTACGAGTGATGTGTTTATGGCAGCCACTTGCAACATTTTGTTGCATTGTTCATGGGAAGTTGTCTTGATGTCACTTGTATGTGAGCTAGACATTATTGTTTTACTGTGAGTTATTTCTATTAATTTTTGTGGGAGTGTTAGTGTAATTCTCTGCTCTTTATATATTTTTTATAGACTATTCTCTGCCTGCAATACTCAGAGTATCTTGTTTTGGGAATAAGCCTGTTGACTATGCTAGGTAAAGTATATGGTAGAGCTGTTATTGAAAGAATTAAAGGTAAGTTGAAGAGCAAGATTGCAAATGAACAAGGTTTTAGGATGGGTAGATGTGTAGATATTGGCAGTTTGGAGGGATATGTTGTGTATCTTTATACGTATATGTTTCTAAACTGTTGTATTCTGAGCACCTCTGCAAAAACAGTGATTATGTGTGAGTGAGATGATGAATGATGATGAAAGTATTTTCTTTTTGGGGATTTTCTTTCTTTTTGGGTCACCCTGCCTCGGTGGGAGACGGCCGACTTGTTAAAAAAAAAAAAAAAGGATGTGTAGACCAAGTGTTTACATTAAGCACGCAAGTCGACAGAATCTAGATGTAGGTAAGGAAGTTTTCATTGCATTTATGGATTTAGAAAAGGAATGTGGTAGGGAGCAGTGTGGCAATTGTTGCATGTAAATGGAATAGGTGATAAGTTACTTAACCCTTTCAGGGCTCCACACCCCTGATCGAAAAATTGCTCTCAGGGTCCAAGAATTAAAAAAAAATTCTTATTAACTTTAAAGACTATATTTTTTTGTAGGTAATGAAACAAAAAAAAAAATTCTCATCAATATTTACTGAGATATTAAGGCATAAAGTTGACAGTCAGTAATCAGCTGACAGTAACATTGGCGGATGCTGTGTACTCCGTATTAGGTTTTTTTAATTTCATTGTTTTTTTTTTTCTTTGTTTTCTAATATTTTACTTTTTCCAGTAGCTTTTGTGGTCTGTGAAACCAATATAATGTATATTTATATAGAGTAGACCATCGATTTAAACAGTTTCCTTTAAAACGTTTTCTTCATTAAACTATTGTCAAATTGTGGCATATTTTCGTTTTACACTTTGTAAAATTCAATTTAAACGATTGTGCTTCTTGAAAGGGGAAAAATTTCAGTGCCGTAAGCTGGAGGAATGACTTACTGACAGATCTGATTTGACTGATTAACTGAATGACTGACCTGATTTACTAACTGGCTTACTGACCTGACTGATTTACAGAATGCCTTACTTGACTGACTGACCTACTGACTGACTGACTGATTTACTGACTGGCTTACTGACCTGAATGATTTACTGAATGACTACTGATTGACTTCCTGATTTACTGAATAACTTGGTTGATATAATGACTGCTTACTACTTGACTGACTGATTTAACTGATTTACTGAATGACTTGACTGAATGACTGTAGGGACTTGATTGGCTGATGTTCTGACTTGTTGACTTGACTGACTGACTGATTGGACTGCCATTCACCTCACAGCCCAGATGGGTCTCAGCATGCCTCTCCACTCCTTCACAATCATTGACAAACACCAGCAACCACAATTTAATGAAAAGAAATATTTCTGTTGCATTTTTAGCCTTAAGCAACAGAAAAAACATTATGACAATAATGAACAACAATTGCATTATTTATTTTTTTTGTAAGATTTGGTAACCTAAAAATAAGTTTTTTTTTTTTTTTTTTGGGGGGCATATTCCAGGAACATAACCCTATTTTTCCCATAAGTTATTCAGTTTCTTTAACATGAATTTGTCTAACACTGCATTTTCAGGAACCTAACTACCCTTTTAACCCGTAAACGGTCCAAATGTATATATACGTTTTTTCAACATTTGAAAGTATGTAAAAAAAGTAGATCATCTTTTTTTTTCTACATTTGAAAATGTGTAAAAAACTTTGATCTACTTTTTTTTTTTTTTTTTGTTATATTTGAAAATATGTAAAAAAAACTTAGCTCTACTTTTGTAGCACTACACATGTGAACGTAGATCTGCTTGGACCGTTTACGGGTTAATCAACGGTCTACTGTATATACACTTGTATGCAACACAGTAGCCGCACTAATATTGTCATCAGTATGAGACAGTGACCGAAAAGGAATTTTTTTTTTTAATTTAGTAATTTTTATATATGTATACCATCACTGGAAATGTTCCTAGAGCAGTTGTAGTCTATGGAACTTTTGAAACATGGTGTTGTGCATAGTGGTATTTTACATTCCTTGCATATAAAACGAGTGTTTACCTGGAGAGTTTACCTGGAGAGAGTTCCGGGGGTCAACACCCCCGCGGCCCGGTCTGAGACCAGGCCTCCTGGTGGATCAGAGCCTGATCAACCAGGCTGTTGCTGCTGGCTGCACGCAAACCAACATACGAGCCACAGCCCGGCTGATCCGGAACTGACTTTAGGTGCTTGTCCAGTGCCAGCTTGAAGACTGCCAGGGGTCTGTTGGTAATCCCCCTTATGTGTGCTGGGAGGCAGTTGAACAGTCTCGGGCCCCTGACACTTATTGTATGGTCTCTTAACGTGCTAGTGACACCCCTGCTTTTCATTGGGGGGATGGTGCATCGTCTGCCAAGTCTTTTGCTTTCGTAGTGGGTGATTTTCGTGTGCAAGTTCGGTACTAGTCCCTCTAGGATTTTCCAGGTGTATATAATCATGTATCTCTCCCTCCTGCGTTCCAGGGAATACAGGTTTAGGAACCTCAAGCGCTCCCAATAATTGAGGTGTTTTATCTCCGTTATGCGCGCCGTGAAAGTTCTCTGTACATTTTCTAGGTCGGCAATTTCACCTGCCTTGAAAGGTGCTGTTAGTGTGCAGCAATATTCCAGCCTAGATAGAACAAGTGACCTGAAGAGTGTCATCATGGGCTTGGCCTCCCTAGTTTTGAAGGTTCTCATTATCCATCCTGTCATTTTTCTAGCAGATGCGATTGATACAATGTTATGGTCCTTGAAGGTGAGATCCTCCGACATGATCACTCCCAGGTCTTTGACGTTGGTGTTTCGCTCTATTTTGTGGCCAGAATTTGTTTTGTACTCTGATGAAGATTTAATTTCTCATGTTTACCATATCTGAGTAATTGAAATTTCTCATCGTTGAACTTCATATTGTTTTCTGCAGCCCACTGAAAGATTTGGTTGATGTCTGCCTGGAGCTTTGCAGTGTCTGCAATGGAAGACACTGTCATGCAGATTCGGGTGTCATCTGCAAAGGAAGACACGGTGCTGTGGCTGACATCCTTGTCTATGTCGGATATAAGGATGAGGAACAAGATGGGAGCGAGTACTGTGCCTTGTGGAACAGAGCTTTTCACCATAGCTGCCTCGGACTTTACTCTGTTGACGACTACTCTCTGTGTTCTGTTAGTGAGGAAATTATAGATCCATCGACCGACTTTTCCTGTTATTCCTTTAGCACGCATTTTGTGCGCTATTACGCCATGGTCACACTTGTCGAAGGCTTTTGCAAAGTCTGTATATATTACATCTGCATTCTTTTTGTCTTCTAGTGCATTTAGGACCTTGTCGTAGTGGTCCAATAGTTGAGACAGACAGGAGCGACCTGTTCTAAACCCATGTTGCCCTGGGTTGTGTAACTGATGGGTTTCTAGATGCGTGGTGATCTTGCTTCTTAGGACCCTTTCAAAGATTTTTATGATATGGGATGTTAGTGCTATTGGTCTGTAGTTCTTTGCTGTTGCTTTACTGCCCCCTTTGTGGAGTGGGGCTATGTCTGTTGTTTTTAGTAACTGTGGGACGACCCCGTGTCCATGCTCCCTCTCCATAGGATGGAAAAGGCTCGTGATAGGGGCTTCTTGCAGTTCTTGATGAACACAGAGTTCCATGAGTCTGGCCCTGGGCAGAGTGCATGGGCATGTCATTTATCGCCTGTTCGAAGTCATTTGGCGTCAGGATAACATCGGATAGGCTTGTGTTAATCAAATTTTGTGGCTCTCTCATAAAAAATTCATTTTGATCTTCGACTCTCAGTCTGGTTAGCGGCTTGCTAAAAACTGAGTCATATTGGGACTTGAGTAGCTCACTCATTTCCTTGTTGTCATCTGTGTAGGACCCATCTTGTTTAAGTAGGGGCCCAATACTGGACGTTGTTCTCGATTTTGATTTGGCATAGGAGAAGAAATACTTTGGGTTTCTTTCGATTTCATTTATGGCTTTTAGTTCTTCCCGCGATTCCTGACTCCTAAAGGATTCTTTTAGCTTAAGTTCGATGCTTGCTATTTCTCTGACCAGTGTCTCCCTACGCATTTCAGATATATTGACCTCTTTTAGCCGCTCTGTTATTCTTTTCCGTCGCCTGTAAAGGGAGCGCCTGTCTCTTTCTGTTTTACATCTACTCCTCCTTTTTCTTAGAGGAATAAGCCTTGTGCATACATCGAGTGCCACCGAGTTAATCTGTTCTAGGCATAAGTTGGGGTCTGTGTTGCTTAGTATATCTTCCCAGCTTATATCGGTTAGGACTTGGTTTACTTGGTCCCACTTTATGTTTTTGTTATTGAAGTTGAATTTGGTGAATGCTCCCTCGTGACTAATCTCCTTATGTCGGTCTGGGGCTCCGCGCATACATGACTGAACCTCAATTATGTTGTGATCTGAGTATATTGTTTTTGATATGGTGATATTTCTTATCAGATCATCATTGTTAGTGAAGATGAGGTCTAGTGTATTCTCCAGTCTAGTAGGCTCTATTATTTGCTGGTTTTTAAATTGAATTTTGTGCAGAGATTTAAAAGCTCGCGTGAGTGTGAGTTTTCATCAGAGCTGCCTCCTGGTGTTATTACTGCAACAATATTATTTGCTATATTCCTCCATTTTAGGTGCCTTAAGTTGAAATCCCCCAGGAGAAGATGTTGGGTGCAGGAGCTGGAAGGTTTTCCAGACAGTGGTCAATTTTTAACAGCTGTTCCTGGAATTGCTGGGATGTTGCATCCGGAGGCTTGTAGACTATCACAATGACTAGGTTTTGGTTCTCGACCTTTACTGCTAAAACTTCCACTACATAAATTTGAGGCATTTAGCAGTTCTGTGCAAAACAAGTGACTCTGCAATGTACAGGCCAACCCCCCCTTTTGCCTGTTCACTCTGTCACATCTGTATGGGTTGTAACCTGGGATCCATTATTTCGTTGTCCAAGTGATCCTTTATGTGGGTCTCAGTGGAAAGCCGGCGAACATTGCCTTTGCCTCTGCAAGCAGTCCAGGGGAGGGAAAGGTATTTGTTGTTTGTTGCTGGCTTTAGACCCTGTATATTTGCAAAGAAGAATGTTATCGGATGGTGGTATTGTTGGTACTGGGGGGGGGATTTTTTTTTCGGCATTAGTATTGTATTGTTGGTTTGGAGTGGAGGCCATGGGACTGTGGTTCCACTCCAGGAATGACTGGATTTGGTGTAGATTTCTGCCATTTCCTGCCAGTTTTTTTTCCTTCCTGGCACTAAAAAACCTCTCCCTCTTGAGTGGCTGTGGCTACCCAGGTTTTCCCCATGGCCTGGATGTTTGT